TTTATCGTAGAAGGATATTCAAAATTTTAGTATTGCATATTGGTCTAAAAAACATCCTTGTGAAGTTTTATGAAAACTGTGCAATTTTATGTGGTAACCTTATAAATTTTTTTTTTTTTTTAATCATTTTTATCCAATATGTTGGGATTGTGGGTCAAACATTTTATTGCTATCATAAATGTTTTTTTTTTAATTTGTTTTTTGTTGTGTTAGGCTTCTTTAAAGTTTACTAGTTTTTGTGTTATGTGAATTATGTAGATTTTTATCTATAAAATTTATGTATAATAATATTGTATAAATTATGTGGATTTTTTTATAAAATTTTCATAAAATTATTTTTTATTTATAAAACTTTATTAAATTATTTTATTTACAAAATTTTATTATATAAGTAAAAATACTTTAATTAAAGAAAGAAAAAAAAAAGGATTCAAAATTGTATAATATAAGTATAAATACTGTTATTATTATTATTATTATTATTATTATTATTATTATTATTATTGCTATTATTATTATTATTATTATTATTATTATCATTTTTATCTATTATCATATATTAATGTCATTAATATCATGTTTTTACTTCAGATTAGTTTATTACTATTATATTACAATAAATTTTAACAACTCTAATCTAAAATATTAATTTTTAAGAAATATATGTACTTTAATATTTTTATTGAATTTCGTAGCATCTTATCATGGATAAAAAAGTACACAAAAAATATATGATATTGTTACTTGGCACCATTCCTGAAGATAAGGATAAGAAAATAAAGGGTTCTAAACTGCCAATACAGAGACATGTCTTGTATGCATTTTTTCAAACCTGAAAGGTTTGAACTGGTGTCAAGCTTTACTTGAAGCTCACTAGTATCGGCTATTTATTATTGCAAGAAATCGATGTAAAAAGGTGCTTTCTGATGCTAAACTCCATTATTCTCAGTTCACTAAATCTCACATCTTATCACAGAAGTTAAGCTCTAAAGACTTTTGGAAAATCTTCAACAGCATTGTTAACAAGGGTAGATCTAACATTCCATCTCTCATTCATGAGACTGATCTTATTACCTCTCCCAAGGATAAGGCAGAACTATTTGCAAAGAACTTTTCTTCTAATTCCACTCTTGAATCTTATGGACATTCTCTTCCTTCCATTCCAGTCAAACAGGTTGACCCATTGTTAGACATTCAAATCACTCCGGCTTCTGTTGCTAAAGTCATATCACAATTAAACTCGTCTACAGCTTGTGGTCCAGACAACATTCCTGTCACAGTCTTGCAGAATTGTTCTCCAGAACTTTCTTCAATTCTCTCTAAACTATTTAACAAGTGTTTTTTTTTTTTTTTTTATTTTACTTCACCTCCTCAAGGCCGAGAAGGCCACTACAAACGAGGAGGCTACTTATTTTGTGGCTATAACCCTCTCTCAACTCTATAACTCCGAAACACGAACCTTGACGAACAAGGCCGCTGCGCGGAGAAACGAGTTGAGCGCGGTACTACCAGGGACGTGGTGGGGATCGAACTCGGAACCACTCGTTTATGAAGCGAGCGCTCTACCACTACACCACTACCGCATTTTTGACCGTGTTTGACTGAGTCTTGTTTTCCTGCTTGTTGGAAAATGGCATCTGTGGTTCCAATATTCAAAAACTCTGGAGAAAATTCTGACCCCTCCAATTATCGTCCGATCAGTCTTCTTTCTGTTATTAGCAAGGTCTTTGAGTCTTTGATCAACAAATTCCTCACATCTCATCTTGAGTCAAATAAACTGCTGTCAGACAATCAATACGGTTTTCAATTCTCTTGCTCTACGGCCGACTTGCTAACTGCTGTAACTGAAAGATTTTATCGTGCATTAGATGGAGGCGGTGAGGCTAGGGCTATTGCACTCGACATATCTAAAGCTTTCGATAAAGTTTGGCATGCTGGTCTTCTCCATAAGCTTGCTTCATATGGTGTTTCTGGGAAGGTTTTTGAGATTATCAAATCATTTCTTTCTAACCGGTTTATTAAAGTCATCCTTGAAGGCCAACACTCTTCTTTATTTCCAGTAACTTCTGGGGTTCCCCAAGGTTCCATCTTGGGCCCTGTTTTGTTTTTTATCTACATAAACAATCTTCCTGACAACCTTTCATCTAAAGTAGCTCTTTTTGCTGATGACTCAACTTTATACTTCTGTCTTGACAAAAAGTCTTCTCTTTTCGATCGCCTAGAACAAGCAGCTGATCTTGAATCTGATCTCACTTCAGTAATAGATTGGGGTTCACAGTGGCTTGTGAATTTCAACTCTAAAAAAACCCAATTGCTTACTGCAAACAACTACCGTTATATGGTCAACATTCCTATATTAATGAATGGCAATCCTCTTACTGAGTCCTCCTCTTTACGCCTTCTTGGATTATCGCTTACTACTGACCTTTCATGGAAACCATATATACAATCAATTGCTAAATTAGCTTCTGCTAAGGTTGCTTCTCTTTATCGTGCTCGCCATTTCCTTACTTCTGATTCCATTCTCTACTTCTACAAATCTCTTATTCGTCCCTATATGGAATACCGTTGTCATACTTGGGCTGGTTCTTCTAACGATTCACTCTCTCTTCTTGACAAGGTCCAAAAACGCATTGTAAATGTTGTTGGACCTGGACTATCTGCTAAGCTTGAACCTCTTTCCCATCGTCGTAAAGTTGCATCTCTTTCTCTTTTCTACAGATACTATCATGGTCACTGCTCAAAGGAGTTATCATCTCTAGTTCCATCAACTAAAATTCATTCTCGTTTTACTCGTCATTCAGCTAAGTCTCATTCGTTTACTGTATCTGTCCCTGCATGCTCTAAAAACTTTTATTCATCTAGTTTTTTTCCCCGCACTTCAATCCTTTGGAACTCTCTGCCATCTTCATGTTTTCCTGACTCATACAACCTTCAACTTTTCAAGTCTTCTGTCAACCGTTTCCTTGCTCTATAACTCTGTTCTTTTTTTTTCCTAGTAACTCCCAACTTAATAGTGGTTGCTTGCAGCCTTGTTGGGAGTGAATGCAAATAAAAAAAATTAAAAAAAAAAAAAAATTTTGAAAAAGAATATAAAATCAATTACGAGTAAATAAAGGAGTATGATAGTAAATTGAACGGAAACAATAGTAATAATTAAAATTTGAGTCTAAACAGTTAAAAAAACAATTGTAAAAAATAGAACTCTTTGGTTCAAGGTTTATTTAAAAAAAGATTTTAATATAATAGTCAATATCTCTTTATAGCTTAGAGATATCACGGTTAAATTTTAAAAATTTAATTTAATTTAGACAGAAAAATGAATCAACTAAAGAAGCGCAATAAAAAATGTTATATTTTATTCCATAATTTTAATAAGACAATATATATTAATATACCGTCTTATTAAAATAATAATATTCAAACAGATCTTTCAAAATTGTTAAATGGACAACCCCTATCCAATTATTCAAAGCTCAATTACCTAAGTCTTCTTAAATGACTTGCCACTCTCTTACTTGTTAATAAAGCGATTCTCTTACTTGTTATAAAACAACTATATGATGTATAACAGTTTTTTTTTATATATTGTTGTTTTATTAGAACGACTCATTATATTTTAATATTTGAATATTGTTTTTTTATTTATTATTTACTAATTATTTACTAACTTATTAAATAAAAATTAAATATAAAAAATTATTAAAAAAAAAAGTTGGGCTTTTTTTTTTTTTTTTAACAATTTGTTTTTCTGTCTCTTTATCTCTAAAAAAAACATTTATTATTACAATTAAAATTTTTACTATACCTGGCATGAAGAATCAAAGAAATAAAATTTCAGAATAAAAAAAATTGTCATCATAACATAATAATTTTAATTTTTCAAAAAAGCTCGTGCAAAACTATCTAGGTGGGCGGCCTGCAAAAAAACGGATTTAGATGGACTATTTATAGCTTGTGCACTCATTTACTCCTGCTGAAACCTGTATATTAGGGTGGTCCAACTTTTACACATTATTTAAAATGCAGACTCCACAACCCTGAATTAAAAAATAATAACTATTTTTAAAATTTTTATAAAGTTTCGCTTCTTTTGAGACTCAACATAATATACTTTTGAAGAAATTTTTTTCTTGATAATATTAGGGGCCCGTCTGATGTTTAAGAGGTTATAGCTACCCCTAAAAATATTTTTTTTGAGATTTTTTAACTCCAGTATAATGTCATTATATAGAACACATTTAGGGTTAAGGAGTCTGCATTTTAAATGATCTGTAAAATTTGGACCACCCTAATATATATATATATATATATATAATGTGTTATGTATGCGTGTAACAAAAAAATATATATGTATATGTGTATGTATGTGTATGTATATATATATATATATATATATATATATATATATATATATATATATATATATTATAGATTATCCAGGTCATTATACTTTTAAAATCCAGAAAATTGTTTGGATAAAATATCCGGAAAAAATCCGGAATATGTTTTCCCTTATTTTCCTTTAAATCTTGCTTTTAGCTGAGTTGTTTTTTTAGGGTTTTTTTTCAAATTTTTTTTTTTTTCTATGCGCGATAAGTGAAAAAGCTTAAAAAACAAATATATTACAAAAATATATACTTAAACATGTATGTATGGAAAATATTTTGGATATACGGAAAAACTAAAAGGTGAAAAAAATATCCGGAATTCTTTAAATATCCGGAATAAGATAATACCTGATATATATATATATATATATATATATATATATATATATATATATATATATATATATATATATATATATATATATACATATATATATATATATATATATATATATATATATATATATATATATATATATATATATATATATATATATATATATATATATATAAATATATATACACATATACACACACACACATACACATGTGTATATATAACACACACACATTTATACAAATATTTAGTTGTTTTCTGTAAGTCCTTACCTTAACTTTTTCTTTAAAATTTTTCTTCGATTTCTTAACTCAATCAATATTTCATCATCAACAAACTCACTTTCACTAGAACTTTCTAAAATAGATAAAATATATACATACAAATATATAGTATAAAAATCATAATTTTAACCATAATCCTGCCTTAACCCAATCCTTATTATCCATCAAAGCGTGTGATTAAGGTCTTCATAAAAACTACTCATGACATCAAAATTAAGGTATGGCAGGCAATATCTATGCATGAACGGGACCTAATAAAGCAAAAAAAAAGTGAGTAAGTGCAAGTATGGATGTACTTTTTATTTTCTGCCAAAAACTAATTTGTAAACATTTTAAGTAAATTAAAAAAAAAAAAAAAAATCAATAAACAACAAAATATCAATCCAAATAAATATTTAAACAAACAAAATATTTTAAAAGTTAACAAAACTTAAGTTTTTTTAATAGTTTTTTTGTTTTTGTTTTCTGTTTGTCTACTATCTAAAATTAGTTAAATTTAGAGTCTTTTGTAAGCTTTTTTATTTTCATATTTTGTTGTTATTGCTGTTGTTATTAAATGCATTTTTAATAAAACTCTTGTGCTGTGATTTTTATTCGTTATTTTTAGAGGAAGATTTGTAAATTATTTTCTTTCTGCTTATAATCTAACTATACTTTTGTCTGCTGCCTTTCCTTTTGTAATGGTGTTATTGTAATTATTATTTTTGTTGAATTATCATTAGCATGATGTCACTCCTTTGATATGAATATAAGTTGTTTTCTTAACTTAATACAACCTAGTGGGAACCAATCATGTGTCAGCTTTATAATCATATTTAGTTTAATTTCAAAATAAAGGACTTTTATTCCCAGTTTATATTGTTGCGTTTGCATTTGTACACTCTAGCTTAGCTCACTTTTAAACAATTTTTTTCAATAAAGTCATCACCAGGGACCACAAAATAATTTGATACAGCAAAAGTAGATTAGCAGGTAAGACTTTGTCCCAGACATGTTTGAAGATCTTACAGCGCTTCTATTACTTTCATACAAGCCTTCCTCCTTTAAACCTACTTTTCTATTCTTAACTATGAAAACCCCCTGAATGCAACAGAAGTTTAGGCATTCCACGCCTTTAATTGATGAAACATTACTCACTCAAAACTATATTGGTTCATTAAAAAAAAAGACTTTTATACACAAATGTTTTATACAAAAATTATAAAAAAAAATTGTTATATCAGTTGTAACTTAACAGAATATTCCAAAAATTTTCAAAATGTATTGGAAATATTCAAAAATGTTCTCGAGCCACTTGAAATATTTTAGCATTTTCCTGACTATTTTGATATCTTCTAGAGTGCTCTGGAACTTTAGAAACTTGCAGTCAGAAACATTTAAACTACAGCTTATAAAGTGATGAAACCATTTGCAATAATAAAACTAAAAGCCATAACAAAACAGAGTACTTTCAATTTATATGAATATTGGTCAGCATTGAAAAGCTCCACTAAAAGCCATAACAAAACAGAGTACTTTCAATTTATATGAATATTGGTCAGCATTGAAAAGCTCCACTAAAAGCCATAACAAAACAGAGTACTTTCAATTTATATGAATATTGGTCAGCATTGAAAAGCTCCACTAAAAGCCATAACAAAACAGAGTACTTTCAATTTATATGAATATTGGTCAGCATTGAAAAGCTCCACTAAAAGCCATAACAAAACAGAGTACTTTCAATTTATATGAATATTAGTCAGCATTGAAAAGCTCCACTAAAAGCCATAACAAAACAGAGTACTTTCAATTTATATGAATATTGGTCAGCATTGAAAAGCTCCACTAAAAGCCATAACAAAACAGAGTACTTTCAATTTATATGAATATTGGTCAGCATTGAAAAGCTCCACTAAAAGCCATAACAAAACAGAGTACTTTCAATTTATATGAATATTGGTCAGCATTGAAAAGCTCCACTAAAAGCCATAACAAAACAGAGTACTTTCAATTTATATGAATATTGGTCAGCATTGAAAAGCTCCACTAAAAGCCATAACAAAACAGAGTACTTTCAATTTATATGAATATTGGTCAGCATTGAAAAGCTCCACTAAAAGCCATAACAAAACAGAGTACTTTCAATTTATATGAATATTGGTCAGCATTGAAAAGCTCCACTAAAAGCCATAACAAAACAGAGTACTTTCAATTTATATGAATATTAGTCAGCATTGAAAAGCTCCACTAAAAGCCATAACAAAACAGAGTACTTTCAATTTATATGAATATTGGTCAGCATTGAAAAGCTCCACTAAAAGCCATAACAAAACAGAGTACTTTCAATTTATATGAATATTGGTCAGCATTGAAAAGCTCCACTAAAAGCCATAACAAAACAGAGTACTTTCAATTTATATGAATATTGGTCAGCATTGAAAAGCTCCACTAAAAGCCATAACAAAACAGAGTACTTTCAATTTATATGAATATTGGTCAGCATTGAAAAGCTCCACTAAAAGCCATAACAAAACAGAGTACTTTCAATTTATATGAATATTGGTCAGCATTGAAAAGCTCCACTAAAAGCCATAACAAAACAGAGTACTTTCAACATAGTTGTCTATTTATATGAATATTAGAATAAAAGAATAGCAAAAATAGAACTTTAAGTAATCCATTAGTTTAGAGAAAGAAAAAAATATATATATCAGAATGAAGTATTCATTAAAACAATGTAGTAAAAAGTAAAAAACAATTAAACTGGTAATCTTAAAAATTTTAAAACATTTTCATCGACCCTTGGAAAGTGGCTACAGCAAATTGTGCTGAAATTAAAAACAATTAAGCAACTCTACTTATTGGGACTGGGAACAAAAACACAAGTTGGAAAAAAAACATCTCTAGGTAGATCAACTATTGAATGCACTTAGAAAATGTTGAGAAAACATGATGCATTAGACACAAAGAAAAAATTTGAATCACCTCAATATGCAGTGTTTTTACTGGGAACTCTTGTAATCACTGGGAAAAAACTGTCAGACAGACTTTCTGCTATTATTATAGGTAATACTCCTAATGTCTACAAGGAATACTCTTAATGTCTACAAGGAAGGATTCTCATATAAAACTTAAAATCAGGAGCAGCTCAATAACAAACAAATAAATTAACTTTTTCCACCAATGGAATGCTAGGCAAAACATTATTACTAGGATGCAACTATTGCAAACACAGGATGCATTCAAAATATTGCTATCTCAGGAGGTACCTTTATAAAAAAATACTTTGCTTGTAGATATTATTTTCATAAGATAATCATAAAAAAAGTTGGGAAGTCTGCAGCGCTCAAAACCTACAATAAAACTGGGTGAAATTGACAAGTAGAAAAGCCTTTGCATCAATACCAAACCAGAACTCTTGGTTGATAATAAAGAACGAGGTCTTCTACGATCAACTACCAGACAATAAGAGACAATCAAGTTGTGACTATTTAAAACTTTGGAAACTGAAAAAAAAAGCAATTCTACTTAGAGAAAAACCACAAAATAGATTTTTTTTACAAGCAAAGAGCCTTTCACAAAACAGTTGAATAACAATTCTTTTTTACAAAGATATTTCTGTTTAAACATCAGTTGAAATACTCCTCTGATAATTCTGAAAAACTATTTCTAAAACTTGTATTTCTGATTTATATAAGAAACTGGATTTCCTTCTCAAAGTAGATGCTTCTGCTAAATTTCAGTTAGAAAAAGAAAATCTATAATTAGATCCAAGTTACTGCAATAGCTTGAACCCGATTATAGATCCCACTATCTTGAAGGATAAAAAATGGGGGAGAGAGCATTGACTCTCATAGGTAGACATATATGGTATCTCACAAGCAAAATTATCCAATTAAATCTATTCTCAAACTCATTGCTCATAAACTCATAAAAACCAACCAATCCTCAACATGGTAGATTAGCCATCCCGGGTTGTCTATTACAAATAAGAAGCAGTTTTTTGGCTTCTTTACCTTCTCCTATGTCTTGCAAACTTTTCAAATTTCTACAATTGACAATTTCAAACAGGTTTCTTAAACATTAAAAAATGGTTAAAGAAAACACTATTAAGTCAGGCTGTTAAAATTCTTAACTACACAAATGACACAATAGAGAAAGGGATTGCATTAATGATAAGCTATTTGAAGATTCTCAGACAAGATGACAAAGCATCAAAATTTACGAGTTGATTTAAAGAAAGAAAAAAATTTTTAAACAATAAAATTCATTTTTTTTTTAATTTTTTTTCAGAATTAAAACATTTTGCATTAAAAATGAGAAAAGAATACAATTTGTTAACTATGCAATGCAGATTTTTTAATAACAGAAAATATAAAAAAACATACAAGTATATGTAAAAAATAATTTTTATAAAAAATGTTTCTAAATTTTTTACAGAAAATATTCAAATAATAAAAGCTACATGCCAAAGTTTAGAACTTAACAAAGTTAACGACTTAAAGACTTTCACTACTTCTAAATAATCCTAATTAACTTAACGACTTAAAGACTTTCACTATTTCTAAATAATCCTAATTAACTTAACGACTTAAAGACTTTCACTATTTCTAAATAATCCTAATGTGTATGCGATGTGCATAATTCATTCTGTGTGTGTCTCTTTTATCACTCTGAATTTTACAAAATATTTGCTAAACGCTGTGTTTGTTTTGAGTTAGACAAGTGAAGTCTCTCTTTGAAAAATCTCTGTTATCTGTGGGAGATATTTATGAAAAGGTCTAATAAGCAAAATATTGTTTTTGCTTACAGTAACAAGGTTAGATAGGCCTAATAATATTATTGAAAAAGCATTTCACAATGCAAAACTCCAAGGACAAGGTCCTCAAAATCAATCTAAAGAAATTTTTTCTTTAATTACAACTTTTACAGCATTTTAAACAGCAAACTTTTTAAAATTTATGTAATATATATTTTTCATGATATTACATTAATTTTTATAAAATCACAAAATATGTGTAACATCATTTGTACTAGAGAAATTGAATTTATATTTATTAAAATTAAAAGAGAAATTGAAATTATTGAAAACTA